ATAACCGGGTCATCAGTCCAAACCCCATCTTTTAGAACACCCTAGATAGCCATTTGACGCCTCTTGCACTTTATAGAACCATGAAAATACCCCGAGTTTTCACCCCCCTCAATACCTCCATTGAATTTTGGCTTTTTAAGCCAAATCCAATTGAGTAATGTGGTCTAATTCAGTAAGATCTTTAAAAATTGTAACTCGTTGTTCCCGTAACTCAACTGTACCCCTATTTTCCATAAGGCGAGTATCAATGGAATCGAGAAGCTCCTGAAGCTCTCTACACTTATTACCCCTCCGGATACGACTACTAGCATTCCAAGCACGAATATTAGATTTAAGAAATTGTAGTTTTTTTCTTAAATTTAACCCATGGATGAATCGAAACCATCCCAACCTGTGTTTCAGACCAAGAGTCACGAACCGCATTATCAAACCCCTCCATATTGAACCAAGAAGGAAACACACGAAACAAAATTGGACCATAATCAACACTATGCTCCAATAAAAGAATCGTCCGATGATCAGGGATGTTTTTTTTCCAATACCATACCAAAAATATGCGGAAAAGAATCTAGAAAGTCGTCTGAAACCAAAAAACGATCCAGTTTGCTAAACTTTGAGCCCCACTTATCACTCCAAGTAAACCTCATACCACCCAAAGGAATGTCAGTCAACGCAACATGCTTAATAAAATGATTAAAGCTCCTAGCTGAATTATTATGAAATTGAGAACCCATTCTCTTAGACTCATCCCGTACTTCATTAAAATCACCCATCAAAACGCACTCCCCATGAAAATAACTAATTAATTGAATAATTGTACTCCAAAGTTGTCTCTTGCAATCCACCATTTGAGGAGCATACACTGCAATAAATAACACCTCCAAACCCAAAGTCCTCCAAACCGCCTCAATCGCAAGAAAATACTCAGAAATGTGTATTTTTTATGAGAAATTCGATCCAAATCACAAATAATCAGAATATCACCCGACGCACCACGAGAAGGAGAAACCGCATGAGAAAAAAATTATTGCCCCAGAAAGACCTCACTATAACTAAATCAATAACTTCCATCTTCGTTTCTAGAATTGCTAGAAAATTAACTTTATGTTCATGACATAAAGTTCTAATCCACCCCCTCTTATCTAATCAACCCGCTCCTTGAATGTTAATAGAGAGACAATTCATTTCAAACCCTTTTTAACTCTACTTCCTTCAACTATATATTTAACTCCTTCGAAACATCCGTCCAAATGTTTTTTGAATTTCTCTTAAAAAACCATTATTAAAAGATTTCTCCGAAAAACCATCATAAGCACCAATATTTGAGAAACACGGAGGATGTGAGAGGTTATATTCCGAGTCAACGATCCATGAAATCTGACCGGATCCGCCACTAAAACCCATCGAAAGAGCACGAACTTTATAAGATTCAACACCATTTTTCTGGATAACATCATTTTTCTAGATAGCAGCAGAAGTCACCACAACATGTGAATTCAACCCTGTTGTGGTTGGAATAGTAGCAGAAGCAGCAGACGCTGCTGGAACAGCTGCAGCAGCAGCTTCACGTGGAAGTTTTGGGTAGACATGTTGTTCCTTGTCAACATTCTGACGTTCCTGAAATTTGTCGGACCGAACAACAACAACAGAGGAGCGAAGCTGTTGTTTTGACTCTTTTGGTTCAGAATTCTGAAATTGCCCCTCCTCATTATTATTGCCCTTAGTACTTATGTCATCAGCACACACACCCCCGTTATCACATCGTTTGTTCCTTTTAGCATCATATTCCTTCATCTTTGCTAATGTATCATAGATTCCAAACGGATCATAGGAATCCTCATCCTTTTCACAATAAGCATTAAAATCTCATTTTTCTTGAAAATGACCATGATCATTACCATTATCTATCTCAGGCTTAAAGTTATCGCAAGAAAAAGAGGGATTCCAACTGGGTGCTTCTTTTATTCTAACCGAAAACAAATTCTCATTAACACCAACTTTTAAAACTTCCGAAATAATTTCTTGAGTCGTAGTCAAAACACAAATTCTGTTTTTGTATACATCTTCGCCTAGCCCATCATCAAGATGTACAATAGTTCCCCATTTATTTAAGATTTTCTAAAAGCTTCCTTGCTCCATGCACGTAAAGGTAAGCCTTCCACATCTACCCAAACCAATTTTTCCGGAGGAACAAAATTTCTATCCGAAGGGCGTTTTTCAACAATCCAATGATCCACAACATCACTTGCCAAGAAATTCTTGGAAGTTTCTTTATGCTTAAATTCTAACATAGCCCAAAAACCACCAACATATCGGATATCAAAATCGTCAAACCCTTCATCAAAACATAACATCCGTAAGTCAGGCAAAGTAAGGAAGCCCCTAGTTGTTACTAAACAAACACACTTGCTTCTTTCAACAATGAAATCCCCAGAAGTGAGATGGATTATGTCATCAACCTTATCAAAAACGAGTTTATCTTTTAGAGCACCTGTAACAACATTAGCATAAGAATTTGGTGGACTCACAAACTTATCCACTTTAGCCGACAATGAAAGATTCACATGGGTAGGTATTCGTGGTTTTGAAAATCTTGGAAGGGAAGCAAACATCTTATGATAACCAAACCACACATCACATAAATTCTTAATCATTTTATCAATGTCAGTCACACCCACAAATCTGATAAAACCAAAACGTTTGCCAATTCGAGACTTCTTAGAAGAGATAAAAACATCAATGACTTTTCCAATTTGATTGCATGCACGCTACAAATCACATATCAAGACGTACTCTGGGAAATTCGTAACATAGAAAGAAGTAATATCCTTACTTGAAAATCGATTACCCTCCCTTGATAAGTGATTCCAATGCCCTCTGAAGTTATGATTGCCAACATAATTTCGATTCTTAACCCAAGAATTATGAGGTTTCGAGTGATCATAATTATTAGAGCCCATGAGAAGAAGTTTACGTAACACACTACCAAACACTAAACCAAGAAGCGTCAACAAGTGGACCAATACAATGGATGAGAGAACGATCGAGACCCGTCAGAAATCAACGAATGGCTGCCGATGAACCTACCAGTGTTAAACCTTTGAATTTGTTTTTGGTTATGTATGTGTTTAAATTTTAGGTGTTCAGTATGTGTGTGTGTTTTAAATTGAAGGTTTTTAGTGGGTGTGTGTCTGTGTTTGTGTTTGCAAGTCAAAAGGTTTTTACAAGGCGTGACTGAGAGAGGGTTTAAGAAGACGAACTAGGCGTTGGTGCTTGGTGGGGATACATAACGGGGTTTTGCATGAAGAGATAGAGGGTGAGTTTGGGGTGGGTCTATTTTCTATTTTTAATTGTAAAATATTAAATAACAAATTAGAAAAAGAAAACAAAAAAAACTATTTAAAAGATATAATAGTTATTTGAAATTTAATAAAGACCAAACCAATAAAAACATACTTGATAGAGATAAAATCAGAATCCTAAGTGAAAATTTTGGACCAAATAAAAAAATCATACAGAAACCACTTTTACAGTTTTCTCAAAATAATATTTAGCCACTACTGCCATTTGCCATTAATATATTGACAGGCAAGGGAATGTAAATAAGACTTTTTCAAATCTCTTTACAAATCAAACTTCTGCAACTTATCCCCTTCACTTTGTTTCCCTTAAACAATACGTCCACCAAAAAAATTGTCGGTACGATTAAATAATTGCTTCTAAAATGAAAAAGGTTCATGCCTATTCATGCTTAACAAGTCAAGGTTTTACATTTTGCACCCTCTTATTTTTGTTTATATGTTAAGATAAACCTTCACCACAATATCATTTCTATATATTTCAAAAGTTGTTGCTACAATGAGAATGATCATCCTTTAGAAGTCAAAGCATTTACAAAGTTCTATACTATATATGTCAAAGTTGTATACTATGTATGTTGATCTATTTCTCAATGATTTATAACTAAAACATCAACTCATAAATAACCCCCTAACACCTAATCAAAATGATTTTCATAATTTTATATATATAAAAAAAACTATACAACTTTCGTGACTATAGTAAATCAAATTTACCATTGTAACTGAATTCGAGACATACCTATTTTCTGAAGAAAAAAAATCTAATAAATGAATATGAGACATACTTCTTTCCCAAAAAAGTTTTCGCACAAAATTTTGAAAATATAACATTTGTATGAAAAACAAAAACACTATGGGTATTTGAGGTTACTATTTCTGAAACAAAAGACAGCAGAAGCATGTATAAACCAAAAATATAAAAAGAAAGAAATGAAAATGAAACAAAGAGGAGACCTAGTCGGCTATGGACGAATTTATAAATTCACTTCCATCATCTTTATTCTTTATAACTTGATTTTATTTGAAAACATTATTAGATATGTTCATGAGAAGATTAGAGCAGCACGGAAATGAAATTATAACTGAACTCTTATTAAAAATATCATAAGGACAAATCAAAATAAAAAGTGTCACTTGTTTTCCGAGAAAACAATAAAAGATGAATAATGTAATCCGAGGGTTAGAAGAATACAATAATAACTTAAAAGTGTAATATATGGAACTCCTAAGAAACTGTAGGGGCAAGAATGTAAAATACAACTGGCATATGTCCTCCCACACTCTAAAATATTTAAAAAGCCAGCAAAATTTTCTTTTTTCTTTTTTTATTTTTCTTTTTACCGTTACCGTGTTTTGTCTGCATTTCCTCGCGCCTTCTTCAACCCCTTCTTCTCTGCTCCTCAAATCTCGAACAGCATTGACTTCAAATTCGCAAGAACACATTAAATCCCTAGCAGATCCATCACGTTTCTCGGTCAAATCCTCACAAAATCTCCCCAGATCTCCTCGATTTCAATCAAAACCCTAAATCCCTATGTTAAACCCACACGAAATCACTAAAATCCACAAACCCTAGTTAGGAAAAACTTTAATGAAGGGAGGCACGGGCCAGTGGTTTACGATCGGGCTCGTGTCATCATGGTATGCATCGAACATTGGAGTGCTACTGCTCAACAAATACTTGCTAAGCAACTATGGATTCAAGTACCCGATCTTCCTCACCATGTGTCACATGACTGCTTGTTCTTTGCTCAGTTACATTGCGATTGTTTGGATGAAGATGGTGCCTTTACAGCATGTTAGGTCTAGGGCTCAGTTTATCAAGATCTCGGTGCTTAGTTTGGTATTTTGTGCGTCCGTGGTTAGTGGGAACGTATCTTTGAGGTATTTGCCGGTTTCATTTACGCAGGCAGTTGGAGCCACCACTCCTTTTTTCACTGCGGTGTTTGCTTATATTATGACGGTGAAGAGGGAAGCTTGGTTGACTTATTTGACGCTTGTACCTGTGGTAACCGGTGTTGTCATTGCCAGTGGGGTAAGATCTCTTGTTTTATTGATCTGTGTTGATTGGCTTCTAAATTTGGGATTTTCTTTCAATAAGCTAACGTGCATAGATTGTTTACAAACACCTAATGATTATTGAAGATTCACGTTTGCTTAAATTTACAATATTTTCATGAAGAACTAGAATCCTGATGGCGTTTACCCATTTAGATTTGGCCAAACATTTACCTGTTCCATAGATAAGGAACTAGAGTCTTGGTTTGGCTTAAAACCACAAATTCAAATGACTTTGAAGTTCAGGAATGAAACTTCATGGCCAATGATAGAAAATTATTTCCACAGTTAACCAGAGTTGTTGTGTTCTTTACCAAGCTAAAGAGTTGTTTAAGGAAAAGGTTAGTTTGACTTTTGCAAAAGCATCTAGTTTTGGAATAGAATACCACTGAGAGTCGGGTTATATAGCTTGCAGTATGTATATCTTTAAATTAGCATCATTCTTACCTTTTACTTGCTTCTTTTGCCATGTAACTGAATTTCTGTCTTAGGTATGGAAAATTTGGTCAAGAATTAACCTCCATGCTCCAACTATATATATTTGATATTCTGCTTGTGGTACCTATAAACATACATTTTCTATTTTTCTGTGTGAATGCCAGGGGGAACCAAGTTTCCATTTATTTGGTTTTATCATGTGTATTGGCGCTACAGCTGCAAGAGCATTAAAGTCAGTTCTTCAAGGGATATTGCTGTCCTCTGAAGGGTAAGTCACTCCCCAATATCATCATCTTCCTCTTTGCTTCTTTTACAGAATTCCATTTGATTTTAGATTCCAATTCCATTCCTGACTGAGAATGTAATTGAATTGATGTAGGGAAAAACTGAATTCAATGAACCTTCTGCTGTACATGGCGCCAGTAGCTGTAGTGATATTGCTTCCAGCAACATTGTTCATGGAAGACAATGTGGTTGGGATCACAATAGCACTTGCAAGAAAAGATGTCAATATTGTGTGGTATCTGCTTTTCAACTCAGCAATGGCATATTGTGTAAATTTGACCAATTTCTTGGTTACTAAGCACACAAGCGCGTTAACTCTCCAGGTCTCATTGATTTCAACTCTTTGAAATTATTTGTATATTATAAATAAGTATTAATAATAGAATTTGGATAAAAATCAGGTGTTGGGAAATGCAAAAGGAGCAGTGGCTGTTGTGGTGTCAATTTTGATATTCAAGAATCCGGTGTCGGTAACAGGGATGCTTGGATACTTGCTTACGGTCTTGGGAGTGATTCTGTACAGTGAAGCCAAAAAGAGGACCAAATAAATCTTCTTCTTTTTCTGGACTCTGGATTCTGGACTGTACACTCCTGGCTGTGCGAGGATTGTACAGTCCAGAGCAAATTTTAGCTTATTCTTTTTGGGAGGACAAAGAAAAGCAAAAAAAAAAACAAAAACCAACTTTTAGTATGATTCATCGTTCATGTATTTTCCATGATTTTTGGGTTTGGACTGATGAAAAACAAACACAATCATGTTTTCCATTTGTATCTTGTGATGTGATTATGATGATTATACATACATACGGTGCTTGAGTTGTATAAATACTTTACCATATCAACCAACATAAATGCTTCAACTTTAGCTACTACTAGTATAATAGTATTGCTTTTTTTTTTCCCCTCTTGATCTTTTAGTTGTATCTTTAAAAAAAACGTAAATAAACAATTTGACGTCATTAACAATGGTGCACCCGACACACTCCGTAATTAAAATCTCTAACATTACTAGAGTCAAAATTAAAAAGGTTACAACATATGTGGGGACAGTACAACATATGAATCTAAGACATTACGACATATGACACCCCCAAGTAAAAAAGGTAATATGGAAATAGCATTAGAGCATCCACCTTACCTATCCTATTAAATGATGTATTATTTTTCATACATCATTTTTCCACTTTATAAAAAAACAATTATTATAATTTTTTTTAATAACTAATTTATCCATATTTATTTAAAATATCTTACAATGTCTAAATGGATTAGGAAAAACTAGTGGTTCGGCAATAAAGTGTCATTTGTCTACATGCAATATATATAATTTCAAGCACACAATATGTTAATCCATCTATTTGTCTTGCTACTAATGTCTAAATGGATTAGGAACAACTAATGGGTTGTCAATATAATGTCGTATAATTACCTACTACATTGTTAAACATTTATTAATACAAATTTGGAATAGTTTGGGTGTGTAACAACGTAAAATTTAAAAACAATTTTTCGTTTTTCAACATAATAAAAACATATATATAATATTCCCAGAATCCCATGATCCAATGTCATCATAATAAAACATATCCCATAATCTCAAAACGTAATCATCTGTCAGTGTGTACAAATCATGCCGGCGCCTTCTCGCGATCCTCGCTGGTACCTGAAACACATATCACATAACACGGTAAGCATAAATGCTTAGTGAGTTCCCCAATATACCACATACAACACATAGGCCACTCGAGACTATAACTCGGTATGACCCTCTGGTCAAAGTGTCTCAACGGGACCCTCCAGTCCCGTAGCTCGTTGGACCCTCCGGTCCGGTCTAGCTCGTTGGACCCTCCGGTCCGGTCTAAATCGTTGGACCCTCCGGTCCGGTCTATACAACACATAGCATACATATATCACAATGCACATAAACTTAACATACACATAACACATAAGACCCTCCGGCCTGCACATAGATACCACTCTAGGTAATGTATAGTGAGAGGACTCACCTCGGGAAATCTCGGAAAGTCTCGAACTCGAATATCTGCTCTAGCCTCCGCCTAATCACATATAGTAATTATCTCTAATTAATACGGCTCTCAAAGGCTAGAATAATCCCTCCCTATATTCTCTCAGAAGGGGAAAAGACCATTTTACCCCTCCAATGGTCCAATATCCAAATGTTGACCAAACCCTAAAAGTCAACCCCAGTCAACGGTCCAACTTTGACCAGACTCGTCGAGTGCACTCGGGTGACTCGGCGAGTCCATACGTGTCCTCTGAATCCTCTAAGGCCTCACTCGACTCGTCGAGTCAACCTTTCTCTCAATGGTTACCACTGATCACGAATCGTGGTGCAACACGATCCGACTCGTCGAGTCCGCTCATGGACTCGGCGAGTTTCTTCCATGAAAATGCTCAAACGACCTCATGAGGTCAGATCTGCTTCTCTAATCTATAGATCTGCCCTTCCAACCCTCAAAAGTCACGTAAAGGTCCAACCTTTATACTCATGCAACACTCATAAGGCTCTTTTTGGTGAAATAGCTCCTAAAATGGCAACCTAGGTTCAAAACTCCATTGGAAATGCATAAAGCTGGATGCTTGGGACTTCCTGGACCCAAAAGGGTCCAGATCTCTAACACAACTCGAAGAAGGGGGTTTGAGGCATCCAAGACCCCCAAAAAGGAATGATTAAAGCCCTAACCCCAAATAATAAAACCCATACAATAGAGAGAAAGAGGGGTCCGATTTGGTACCTCAAGGTGAACTCCTTGCTTGGCTAACTCAGAATAGCAATCTCCTTTGATCCTTCTTGCTGGAGCTCCTCTCCTTTCTTGCAAAATCACACCAAAAGCTCAAATGGCCTTCTCTCTCTCACTCTACACACTCAAGATCGATGCGGGTTCTCTCTCAGGGATGGTAGCCGCAAATGAAGGCCATAAGTGCCTTTAAATAGGGCTCATGCCCGAAGATTTAGGGTTTCCACTTACAGCGCCTACTCGGCGAGTCTACTCTTGGACTCGTCGAGTAGTTCATTAAACTCACGTGGCTACCCCACTTCTACTCGACGAGTTATAGCACCAACTCGTCGAGTAGATCAATGATCCTCAAAAATAAATAATTCAAAATAACATACCTGAAAATCCGGATGTTACAATTCTCCCCCACTAGAATCAGACTTCGCCCTCGAAGTCTCGCTCTGCAAACAACTCTGGATGCTGCTCCCGCATCTCCGACTCCGGCTTCCAAGTCAGCTCGGACCCTCTCCGATGTTGCCACTGGACCTGAACCAGGGGCACCTCCTTGTTTCTCAGAACCTTGACCTTCCGATCCAAGATCGCGATCGGCCTCTCAACGTAATTCAGGCTCACATCCACCTGAATATCCTCTAGTGGCACTACTGCCGTCTCATCGGCTAAACACTTCCTCAACTGGGATACGTGGAAGGTATCATGGATCTGGCTCAACTCCTCGGGCAGCTCCAGACGGTATGCTACCTTACCCACCCTCGCGATCACCCTGAATGGACCAATGTATCGGGGCCCCAACTTGCCCATCTTCCTGAACCGGATCACTCCTTTCCAAGGAGATACCTTAAGGAGTACGAAATCTCCGACCTGGAACTCGAGCTCGGATCGCCGCCTATCCGCATAACTCTTCTGACGGCTCTGGGCTGTCAGTAACCTCCGTCTGACCTGTTGTATCTGCTCAGTCGTCTTAAGCACTATCTCAGTGCTACCCATCACTCGCTGCCCTACCTCTTCCCAACAGATGGGAGACCGACACCTCCTCCCATATAAAAGCTCAAAGGGAGGCATACTAATACTCGCATGGTGGCTGTTGTTGTAAGAAAACTCAGCCAAAGGTAGGTATGTGTCCCAACTTCCACCGAAGTCCATAACACATGCCCGAAGCATGTCCTCGAGTGTCTGAATCGTCCGCTCACTTTGCCCGTCCGTCTGTGGGTGATAAGCAGTACTGAAGTGCAATCTCGTACCCAACTCCTCATGAAACTTCTTCCAAAGCCTGGAAGTAAAACGTACATCTCGATCTGACACAATCGAGATCGGCACCCCATGTCGTGACACCACCTCTCTCACATACGTCTCCGCCAGCCTCTCTGCAAAAGAGCTCTCACTGATAGCAAGAAAGTGAGAGCTCTTCGTCAGCCGGTCCACAATCACCCAAATTGCATCAACACCCCTCGCGGTCCGCGGCAATTGGGTGATAAAATCCATAGAAATATGTTCCCACTTCCACTGGGGAACCTCTAACGGCTGCAACTTGCCATGCGGACGCTAGTGCTCGGCCTTAACCCGGCGACAGGTCAAGCACCTCTCTACTACCCATGCAACATCCCTCTTCATACAGGGCCACCAATAATCTCTCTTCAGGTCCAAATACATCTTCGTGACCCCGGGATGGATCGAGAATCTCGATCTATGCGCCTCCTCCATCAAGGTGCTACGTGCCCCGCCCGTATACGGCACCCAAATCCGACCACGAAAGGTCAAGAGCCCTCGGCTATCCGTCACAAACTCGAACACCTGTCCAATCACCCGCTCCCTTTTACGGTTCTCCGATCTCACAGCTTTGCCTGGGCCTCTCGAATAGTATCCAACACCGGAGTCATCACCGTCATCCTCATACATATGTCTCGAATCGGGGCACTCTCCGCCCTACGGCTCAGAGCGTCGGCTACTACGTTAGCCTTTCCCGGGTGGTACAGGATTTCACAGTCATAATCCTTTACTACATCCAACCATCTCCTCTGACGCATGTTCAGGTTGGGCTGATCCATCAGATACTTCAAACTCTTGTGGTCCGTATATATGGTACACCGAACCCCATACAAATAATGGCGCCATATCTTGAGGGCGAACACCACCGCCCCCAACTCCAAATCGTGGGTGGGATACCTCGTCTCATGAGGCTTCAGCTGCCTCGATGCGTATGCTATCACGTGCCCTCTCTGCATAAGCACTGCACCCAAACCCGATATAGACGCATCATAATACACCACGAAATCCTCCATTCCCTCCGGAAGAGCTAACACCGGGGCTTCGCATAACCTCTGGCGAAGAGTCTCAAACGAGGTCTGCTGCTCTGGACCCAAGCAAAAGCAGCGCCCTTCCGGGTCAATCTGGTGAGGGGAACGACAATCTTGGAGAAATCCCGAATAAATCTCCGATAGTAGTCGGCCAACCCCAGAAAACTCCTGATCTTGGTGGGGGATCTCGGCACCTCCCAACTCATGACCGCCTCAATCTTGGCCGGATCGACCAATATCCCATTCTGATTAACGAGATGTCCCAAGAACTGGACCTCACGTAACCAGAAATCACACTTGGAGAATTTGGCATATAGCCTCTCCGATCTCAATACTCCGAGGATCTCCCTCAGGTGCTCCTCATGCTGCTCTCTGGTCCTGGAATACACTAGAATGTCGTCGATGAACACAATCACCGATCGATCCAACATCGGCCTGCATACTCGGTTCATGAGGTCCATGAACGCCGCTGGTGTATTGGTGAGCCCAAAAGGCATCACCACGAACTTGTAATACCCATAACGAGTCCTAAATGCTGTCTTCTGGATATCCTCATCACGCACCCTCATCTGGTGGTATCCAGACCTCAAGTTTATCTTGGAAAACCAAGACGCACCCTGCAACTGATCGAACAGATCGTCGATCCTCGGTAATGGATAACGGTTCTTGACCGTTAATTTGTTCAACTCCCGGTAATCAATGCACATCTGGTGTGAACCATCCTTTTTCTTGACAAAAAGGATCGGCGCTCCCCACGACGAGCTACTCGGTCAAATAAACCCCTTTCCCAGCAGCTCCTGAAGCTGCG